TTCCTGCATAAACAGGAATAAATATATATTATTATTAATTTTCGCAAACGATGGGTGCACTGCCGTTGTGACAAAGAGGTGCCGAAAGCAAACTACGAGTTTATGAGAAATAACCCATGCTCGTTGTTTTGGTACATCTGTCCACTCTGACGCCCTGGCATATTCCCACAGAGCGTGTCTGCGGATAGCAGAAACAACACGCCGCTCTTGTGTCCCTACAAGGTCTGATGCAGCTCCCCACCTGCTAACACCACACTACTAAAACTTGGTGCAGACAGTTAGAAGGATACTCCAGTCCAACTGACTGGAAATGCCAATCTTCACAAAGTGAAGAGTCCCAAGTTTGCACCTACAACATCAGGGAAAGATAGAATTGCAAAAGCACCCCTTGCATCCGCAAGCAAGCTTGGCAACACAGCAAAGGCTGGTCGAAACCTGATGAGGCCTAAAGTTGCTGATGCTGCAGAGGAATACAAGAAGCCAAAGGCCAAACCTAAGTCTAAGTTTAATCGGTCTAATTCGCTCATCCTCTTTAACGTACCTGCGAGCAAGGACAGCTTGCTTGAACAGCGGGCCCTGTTCGATCAGGAGCAGTGGTTCAACCTGTGGAATAAATTAGGGCTGAACATTACTACAGTGAAATTGTGCAGGCTGTACAGGGGTGTTCATACGCCTCAGGGTAAGCCACCCCCATTAAGGGTTACAGTGGACTCTGCCGAAGAGGCCAAAAGAGTACTATTGATGGCTCAGGTACTAGCCATCGACAGAAGTTCGAACATAAGAGTGAGACAAGACAGACCATGGGCTGTCAGACAAATGGCGAGGGAGTCACCGGAACTGATGCCTTCTACCTCTTTGGTGGTGCACGGTGTTCCGGAGCTGGAAACGGACATTGCTTGTGAAAAACGCATGCATGACGTACAGCAGTGGAGATGGCTGTCGTCTCAGATGGCCCTTGGGGCTTCTGGAGCCATCTCCGTTTACCGACTACCTCGCCCCGCTCATCTCACACTGATTAGCTCTCCAAAGCTGCTAAGTGTCACATTCAACTCCCCGGAGCAGTTGGTCACAGCATTTCAACGGTGGTATGAGATCAAAGGGAAAATGGGAGGACACATCCGATGCTGCGAAAGCAGACCTCGAACCATAAGGAGGCAGCAAACTGAGGCTTTAATACATCCCTAAGCTTCAGTGACACTAGAGCGATGCGGTTCTGAGAATAACAGTCTGTGTCACCCAAGCCTAAATCCATGGAAAATACCACAACGGACCGGTTCCATCGGAACTGGCCAACTAGTCCCAACATTAAGTCCCCTACCAGCAGACAGCTTCACGTCAACTACCCCACAACACGCTGAGGTTGTAAGACTCATTGTCAGCTGCCTATATAGCAATGTGGCGGGGCCGAGAGGAAAAATGGGTGAACTCCGAAACCTCCAAGCACACCTACAACTGAAAACGATCATTCTCACTGAAACATGGCTAACCCCCACTATCGCCAATAATGAAATCAGTTTAGCTGATATGGTTCTGGTCAGGAGAGACAGGGATAATAAGGAAGGAGGGGGAGTTGCAATATACTTTGATAGGCAACTTAAATGTGTGCGCGCAACGGACCCACGACTTATTGAACTCCCAGACTCCATATGGTGTCATTACACCGTAGGCCACACCAAGCATTTACTTGGTGGCATCTACCGATCTCCCACCTGTGGGGCAGAGCACAATCAGCTACTGCTTAGCACCATCACAGGGGTACGGGACTTGGGCTATGACCAAATCACCATAGCTGGAGATTTCAATGCTTCATCAATGAACCTTGGCTTGGGGTATGCTAAGGGAAAATTCGGCCGAAATCTACTGCAAACTATTCAAAACACGGGAGTGACTTAGAACGTTGGAGATGACACTAGGTGGGGCCCTAGTGGAAAGTCATCAAAACTAGACTACATTCTAACTAGTGCCCATCTACTCGTCCAGAAGGTCCAGATCATGACTCCGCTAGGAAGTCGTGACCATGCAGTCATAGGTTTCGATCTCGTTCTCCGTGAGCATTTGCAGTGGGACGTTACGCAACCATGTCTGTGTTATAGCAAGGCTGACTATGCTGAAATGCGGAGGCTCTTGCCCGATGCAGACTGGCCCTTAGCATGGGATAAGCTGTCTGTGGATGAACACTGGGAGATGGTAAAAAAGATTATTCATACAGTAATCTCGGATACCGTCCCTTTAGTCACAACACAGCCCAAAAGAAAGTCGGCATGGTTAAAGAGAAGCACGCAACCTATTCTGCAAGCAAATCGGAAGGCTTGGTTTACGTGGCGTGTATCCAGGAGTCAGACCGACCACGACGCATACCTGGGACTCTGGAACCAATGCAACGCGAGAGTCAGTAGGGACAGGAGTTCATTCCAGGCTAACCTTGCTAAAAAACCCTGGCAAACCCCAAAAACTTGTATCGATTCATGTCGGAAGGAAAACCAACCAACCAGGGGGAATGAGTCTTAGTAGGCTCAAACGGTCAATATCTCACTAATCTGGAGATGGCTGAAACATTCGCTTTAGCTTTCGCCAAACAGCAATGTGGATATCACCGTTACGGACCAAAATGGTGGCACCACTATTTCACAGGAGGAAGACCTAGTGGCTACTCCCCAAGTAAATCCCGCAATAGTACTAAGGAGGCTACAGCGACGCACACCTGGGAATTCCCCAGGTTGTGACATCAGGCCATCTGTTCTGAAACAGTGCACCGAAGCTCTCTGTAGGCCCTTATGCGACTTCTTCCAACACTCCATGGAATCGGGGAAATAGCCAAGGGAATGGAAAAGAAGCATCCTTTCTACGATCTTCAAGGATGGGGATAGGCAAAATCCCACTAGTTATAGACCAGTAGCTATACTCCCAATGATATCAAAAGTACTGGAAAGTATCATTGACGATCACATCAGGGAATATCTCGATAGGTCTAATATACTCCATGAAGCCCAACACGGTTTCAGGAAAGGGAGATCCCGTGTTACTAACTTATTATCAGCTTGGGACGATTGGACATCATGCTGGGATATGAATGTTCCAGTACATGTGGTCTTCCTTGACTTTGAGAAGGCATTTGACACCGTTCATAATGACCTCCTACAAAAAGTAGGCCAGGCAGGTCAAGGTAAGCCACTTCTGTCATGGTTAAAGGGCTACCTAACTGAAAGGCAATTTTGCACCAAGGTCAATAGAGTCCGATCATCTTGGCACAGCTCGTCATCAGGAGTGTCGCAGGGTTCTATCCTGGGACCACTGATGTTCTTGATTTTTATCAATGATCTACCATGCCGTCTAAACTGCCCGACTCTTCTATACGCTGACGACGTGAAGATATGGAGGGCGATAAAGTGCCTGGAGGACTCAGATAGGCTGCAGGAAGATCTCAACCTTCTAGAAGACTGGGTGGTGGCCGGTGGCATGACTTTCAACCTGAAAAAGTGCAAAGTAGTGAAGTTACGCACCTGTGGACTGCAGAATGCAAGTTACACCCTATGCAACGAAAGCTTGTCCTGCACAACGTCGGAAGGTGACTTAGGTCTAGTTCTAACGGAGAAAATGGACACAAGTGTAAATTACACGGGGGATGTAGCGAGGGTACATGCGGTCATACACTTTACACATAGACAGTCAGGTGCACTGACTCCTGAGCTCTTTCTAAGGTTGTATAAAACATACGTCAGACCGCATCTTGAAGTGCACAATATTATTGCACCCCGACTGCTAAGAAGAGACGCCAACCTCTTGGAAAGAGTCCAACGACGGGCAACAAAAGGAGTGGTTGGTCTCCGAAATAAACCATATGACGAAAGGCTGAAGAAATTAGGCCTATTCACACTTAGTTACCGTCGTCTTAGGGGAGGTTAATTACTGCCTGCAAAATAGAGAATGACCAGAATCACCCAAACAAAGGTGTTCTGCCATTGAGTAGGTATTGGCTCCCTCGCGGAAATCCTAGAAGGATAGCTCATCAGAGGGCAAGGACCTGGGTGCGCTCCCACTTCTTTTCACTGCGGGTTTTCCGTCCCTGGAATTCCTTACCGGCAGATGTAGCTATGGCACCATCTGTGGACGCCTTTAAGCGAAGGCTGGACAACCATGCAGCGACACAAGGAAAGCATCCAAATGGCCTATCCCCTTTAAATCGCATACACCATTCAAAGGTAGACAATTGAACTTGTCTTTTTACTTCTTTACATTCTCTCCCGTCTTACTCTTCTGACAGCTTTAACTACACATATTATTATCATTATTACCGGTATATATATATAATTCTTCAAATTTAATCAGCTGGCTGTTGTTACCTTTTCGTACTCCTTTTTTGTCTGTTAGTCTGAATAAATTCACTAATTATATCTATTATTATTATCTCTTTTCTTTTGACGAAGCTATCGGAGGACTAATTGGTGAAAGGATCAACTCCGTTCACAGTAGTAACAGTATTAACATATCTCATACTACAAACCACATATAATTAATCCCTGCACTACTCCTTTTGGAGTCAACCAAAGCTACGACAGTCGATTGGCGGGATGAGCTACTCAGAAGTTTACCGAAGATCAGGAAACTATACCTCACAATCAAGAGGTGAGAAAGAAATCAAATTGGTTTATACTAGCTCGTAAAAACGATATTGGATATAAAAAGCTCTTTTACTAACTTACACTAACAGGATAGGGAACCAGTATTCTACGGAAGCTCTAATTCACCACTCATTAGAAATGTAAGTGCTTACTTCTTACTGAGTGATCAACCTCTAGATGTCTTGGTGATATGATGAACACCTTCGAAGAATATCACAATACATATGCGAAGCTATAATTTTAGGACTTCTGAAAAATTATTTGACAGACCTTTTCAACCGAATTCGGATGAAGTTTTACAGTGTTATTTATTGTTTATTGAAGTGTAACCTTGACATGGATACAAATTTAAATCTGTTTGTTGATTCCGCTTAGGCTATTATGAGTCTTGTTCCTTGTCGCGGTGGTGGCCGACTACAAACTTTTGTACTTACAAGAGATATTAACTCACTCGTCAATTCTCTTAACAACGGTAATTATCTTTTCAGCACAAAGCAATTTACATTAAGGCTTTTATGTAAACACAGTCAATCGATATAGTGAAACTGCATTGTTCATAGCATCTTATTACGGGGACATAGATATGGTCGATTTATTGCTTTCTAGGGACGCTGATCCAAATTTGTAAGTTGCTCGTAATCTTTATCCTTGGCAAATAATTGCTTAGACAAACAACTGAAGGAAATACTCCCTTGCATTCAGCTGCTTGTAATGGACATACCGAAGTGATGCAAAAGCTTATTGCTGCTGGAGCTGATGAAAACCTCAAAAACAGCCAGGGCCTGACTGCATCAGATTTGCTTAATCTTAATCATTCCGAGGAAAAGAGTACTAAGTTATTTTGAGATGAGAAACGCAAATAAACTATCATACATAATAGGTGAAACAAGCAAGTGTGATTCGAAGAAGAGATCAGAAATAAGAAAAACCAACCGTGATTCCCTTCGAAAGCATCAAATTAAACTTTCAAAAACTGAATCTAAATGTCTTACTTCGTTTTGTTCAGTAAGTATCTAAACTTCATGGAAAATAAAAATTCTTTAGTTTACCTTTGATCATTCACATAGACCGCGAGAATTTATTTCAAGCATACCCATTCGTAAAAAGTCAGAAATTGAAGGAGACCTCTGTGAAAGCTCTCATTACTCCCACAAAGAAGATTTTATCCTCAGAGATCGGTAAGTATTATTGAGCTAAATACTGTATTGATTTTTTTACTGCATATTTGATTTTTAGTCCTTTCACTGTTGCGAGTGATCACAACTTTTATTTCGATTTTAGCAAGACATTCTATAAGTAAGGCTAAATATTGTTAGTAGTTTTTTGAATTAGCATACTGATCAATTATGACATAAATTCACGACACATAATTAGAGTAATCTAGAAATCCTGCTGGTTTCATTCTTGCATTAGATTCGTAGACCACTTGTGAGGCAGTCTTAGCAAAAATCTTTTAATTTTCCAATTTTTCCGTCTCAAGTAATACCTATTATTGAAATGTCAGACACAAAGGTAGTGAGATAGGTGTTTGAAGGCAAATTTACAACTATTTCAAGTTAAAAATGTTAACCACCACGCATTCGTCTGCTTTGAGTGTGTTTAGCGGTGTCCCCCACTTTAAGCTATTCCTGGTAACATCCTGTGGTGGGCTAATTGTCCATTCAGCTTCATAATCAACCTACTTAAAGGAGTTTCTCTTTTAATAATTTATTTAACAACATTTTACGTCCTCACAGAGGATTATTCAGTTGGCATAGTTTATGCTGCAGACAAAAGCGTTTGTAGGATTAAGAATACTCTAAACATCAAGTAACGATTTGTAAATATCTAGGATGTGTTTCCACCTTTGTTAAGTAAACTGCTACGTCAGAAGGTTTTTACTGGTATACTTTCTGATTAAAGGGATAAAAATGGTTCACGATGTCGATTATTTTACATTTTAGGTAACTTATCTGAATAAATTAGTTATCGACAAAGTGTCAGTAAGGGAATTTAGAGTCTGTTAAACTTCTCTCGATGTAAATGAGGTTTCTATTTGGTCATTGAAATCCAGATGGACTAGCAACACTGTGTTTTGTACTACTGCATGTTTGCCTTCCCTCTGATTCAAGTCAACTTCATAGTAATAGTAATGTCAACGTCTTAAATCTTAGAAATTTCTCCCCACTGGATATTTTCATTGTTCAAATTTGAACAAACTCCCTACGTAGGCACTGGATGACTGTTTTGCTTATTCGAAATAAATTTCGCCCTTGAATTAGTTAACTTTTCATCAGTTTCAGACTTGTCATTTGCATTCCTGCATAAACTCAATATCTGGCAGTTTGGGAACTTACATGGGAATTCATAGGCCACCTACTCTCGGTCGGTTTTCGACATAGAACTTTGCACATATGTGCGGCAGTTCAAGTCACCACACTCCATGTAGCACACAAAGAAAGAGAAGAAAGTAGAAGAAATGCATAATAGAGACAGTAAACAGAGGTGTGAGACAAAGGAATAGTAATAACGGAGAACAAAACAGTTTCATTGGAAATCATAATTCACAAGGAGTAGATGCATCTGCGCCACTGAGAACAATTTTGAGCCATGTCACCAATCGTTTCCAACCATTGGTTTTTACCGTCCCGAGGACCCCAACCAGTCAGCAAGGCAGTCTACACCTTCCTACGTGGCTTAGACTAACTGTTGTGGATTTCATTGACTGGTGCCTTGTTTTCGTTTGACCACCGCTAGCTGTTTTCCAGCCTGACCCTATACCAGCTAACATTGCCCGTCGAGGAAGGCGATGACTAGGCATACGTAACACATGTCTCAACCATCTCAGTCGATGTAATTTCACAGCCTCGTCTATTGATTTCCCCGCCTTACCTAGCACTCGACGCCTAACCTCAATATTGCTCACCTTATTATACCACTTCACGCGGGAGATAGAACGCAGACACATATGATCGAACACCTACTCTCATATGTCTAAACCTATCACACTGTAAATATGCGATTAAAGTACTTAGCCCTCGTGTAAATTGTATAGCCCATACATTTTTCCACAGGATTCTACATAGTTATTTAGGATTTATTGAAAAAATAGGCGAAGTTAGGGCTGGTTGTTAGCTTTGTTGAATGGTGACATATTATTAATAAGGGCATTATCTTAGTGATGCTTGCTTAATTTAATATCCATGTTCGATGTCCTGTTTTCTATCTTTTAGCTGAAAAATATAAACTGTCTTTATTCGTAGATAAATAAGTCTACATTTTCATAGGCACATGCCTGAATCATATTTTTCTGTTTTGATTAACTTAAAAATTGGGTTTAAAAAGAGATGTAACATTTTAGAATTTTGTAGTATTGAGAAAAGAGATAATACTACTAAAAATAAGTCCGGATAGTATAAGTGGAAAATCCGATAGTATTGAGAGAATGTGTGAATGAAGGGTATAAATTATAATGAATAATAATAATTTCAATAATAAGCAAAGAAAAGGAGGGGAAGAGGCACCCGGTGAGAAGAAGAGTCATTAGTTCAAGTTTGGTCACGATAGGTACAGCATGTGGACGTGTTCTTTATGGATGCAATGTTTCGGTTTAGTCGATCTTGTTGCAACAGCTTCAGCTATATGTAGGAGACGCAAGAGAACTGTACCTGATAACGACTTCGGAATTCGGTATATAACCCTGAAAGCTGTATTGGTGTCAATGCCATGTCCAGGATCGACCAAGTGTGACAGGAGTGAGCTTTCTGCGCATTTAATTTCCCCCATGCTGAACAAAGCTGTTAAATGTTTTCGAACCCGTGAATGAACCTGCCTAATCATGCCCCTATATAACGTGAACCACAGTAACAGTGGAACTGATGAACATTGGACGGATCCTGAAAGATAGTAACAGATGTTCAGAGTAGAAAAATTTCTTTATCGCAACTTTTAACCAGGGCGATAAAGATGTCTTTCCTAACCTTAGCTCTTCTTCATGCATATAGCATTTCGATTGTTCCTATGGTTCACGTTACATAGGGGCATGATTAGGCAGGTTCGTTCACGGGTTCGAAAACATTTACCAGCTTTGTTCAGCAAGGGGGAAATTAAAATGCACAAAAGCTCTATTCTATCATACTGGGTCGATAGTGAACATCAGTTCAGTGCCAACACAGCTTTCAGGATTATATGCTGAATTCCGAAGTCGTTATCACATGCAATTCTCTTATGTCTCCCACACACAGCTGAAGCTTTTTCATCAAGATAGACTAAACCGGAACTTTGTATCCGAAAACAGTACATCCAGATGCTGTTTCTACAGTGGCCAGACTTGGATTGATGATTCTTCTCACCAAGAGTGCCTTTTCCCCTTAACCCTCTTGGCTTTCTTCTTTCTTTGCTTATTATTACAATTATTAATATTATTCGTCTTAATTTATACCCTTCATGCAAACATTCTCTCAATACCATCGAATTTTCTATTTGTACTATCCGGACTTATTATTAGTTATATCTCTTTTCTCAATATATGCTTCCACCTGTTTCATTTCACCAAATTGGTTACCTCATGATGAACCTCTCATTGAAGTTTTTTAGTATTATTTTTATGTTTATTTAATTATTATGAGGTTACATGTAGATTTCATTTTCTTTGTAATAACATTTTATCAACATATTAAAGACTTCTTTTGAAAATAAAGACGGTCGATGTATGCAATTGACACTCTGGATATACTACCGGTTAAATTTTATTATTTATTTTGATTTATTTTTTATTATTGGCATGCTGATCCATTTTGTATGAACACATGCCAGTAAAGAGATCTCTTTCCAATAATTGCACTTCAAGGTTGTACGGTTATTTAGGGATTATATATGTTTAACATAGAAATTGGCAAAAAATGGTCAGAGGTTACCATCGATTAATAACAAAGACAAGTCAAAATGTATGAAAAATGGTGAATGATCTTACGTAATCAGGAGTGTTGAGAATTAGTTAACTAAGTGATGAGTAATCATTTGGAAATAATCGATAGGAAAGAGGAGCACAAAGAAATGAATAAAGACAGAGTTGATTATGCGACGATGCAGGAAAATAAAATTGACACCAAGGTTATTGTGATGAAAGACGCCAGATGAGACGTTTCTAAACACAATTTTCAGGTGTTTTGCTTATGGATCTCTAGACCTTCGTTCACATGAAGGAGATATAAGCGGAATTCTTTTATGTCGTTTGATCTTACTTTATATCTAACTTTGAATGGGTTCTCTGCTGTCTCTCCATGATCAGAAGTAGTAATGTGCTCTGGAATTGAGGTGTCGACTGTTTTTTCGACAAGCATTTGGGTAGGTATTCATTAGCGAGTCCAAACACTGTCCTGTTGTTACTGCCTGTAAACCCTACTCCATAGAAGCAAATGAACTGGTAAATGTAAGATGAACTTTGCAACAGCAAGATCTTATCTTTGACGTTTTGACATGTGTAGACAATCTTAGGCGTAGAGATTGGACAAAGAACCTTCTTTAGATTGATCTCTACAGACGGCCCTAGAGAACTTTGATAAATTTACCTCCTTTGAATCTTTCTTCGGAACAACAGTCTTTCCCCTTAAACAGCTTTCAATGAAAGAGGTTGGCTATCTATTCTGTATTAGAGTGTTTCTAAATGATTGCAATTTTTTTATTCTGTGTATATCTTCGGTGCAAATTGGAAAGATTCTTGTCTCAAGAGAAATAATGGGGTATTTTTTCCGGCTTATTTGGGGGAAATGTAGAAGCTTGATAACTATCCATTGTTTTTGTTGTGTCCCACCTATTCTCCTTGAAAGCTGCACATCCGGGGAAGACAACTAACCTTCTAGTTTCACTTCAGTCTTAAATTTCAGTGGTCGTTGAGGGTTGTTAGAGATTACTGAGATTTTACTTAACTCACTGTTTTTGTCCAGAATGATAAATATACCCTCCATGTGCCACCTGTAAACTCTGAATTGACTAATGGTTGATTTGAGGCTATTTGACTTCATATACGTCATTAAGTAGTTGAAAAGGAATGAGCTGAGCGGAGAACCCACTGCCAATAATTCTTTCTGTCAGTATTTTTGACCTTACAGTTTTGAAGTGAAGTTATCCGAGGAGACCTCTTTGTTAACTTGTGTTGTTAATTACATAACATGGAAATCTGTGTAAGAATTAGCTATAT